CCCGGGCATGTGCCCTTGACTGGAATCGAACCTGGGACCCTTTGGTCTGCAGGCCAACACTCTAGCCACTAAGCCAAACCAGCTAGGGCCAGGAAGCCTTTTTAAAAATCTCCCTAGATGGAGTTGGGCACCTTAGGTGTGTATACCCTAGCATAGCCCTTTAATAAAGGGTTAACACTAATTGAGCACTTACTATGTGCCGGGCATCTTGTATGCATTATCTCATATAATCCTTGCACAAACTCTATGAAGCAAGTATCCATTTGCAGATGAAAAGACTAAGGCACAAGTTAGTTAGCCTTAGTCACACTGACAGTAATTGGTGAGGCTGGGGTAGGACCAAAAGCAGCTTACTCCTTCCTCTTTTATGGCTCTTCCTTGCCATTGTTTCTTGTCTGTTTCCCTCACTGCATTATAAACTCCTTAAGGCCAGGCAGGCCTGTGTCAGCCTCCCAGCATGTGGGAGAGTGCCTGTTATAGGTTTGGTGAAAGAACAAGTGCGTGAACGAATTTTCTAGTTCTTACCCTTTCCACAGTGGGATTGTAGAGGCTTCCTCGTTTGTCTTATAAAGGCTGTGACCCAGAGGCCCATTCTCCTTCCTTTCAGGGCTCTCAGTACCGAGATGGGAGATGGGCTGGCAATGGGTGCAATTGGAAGAACAAAGGAGCAGAGGTGTTGCCCTCAGTTTTCTGGCCCCAATAAGGCCACTACTCTCATCACAACTTCAAAGTCTCCCTTGCCCCTCAAGTTACTCGGAGAGCTATGCCACACAACCACGGGCAGCCACCAGCATCATCCGGCTCCTTCCTCCATCCTGCCCTTAGCTCTCTCCCAAAGGCTTCCAGGCACTAAGGAAGGAGGGACTGGCCAGTCCCATGCCGCCCATAGAAGGGGCCTGGAGTTGACCGTCCCTCCCAGACCACATCCTGACCTACCCCTGCAGTCTTGGGACACAACTCCTGCCACAAATCACTCCCCTCGCCCCACCCTGGCTCCCCACCTGCTTCCCCTCTGCAGCCTGCAGCTGCCTCAGTGCCTGTCAGGCTGGGTTGAGTCACTTCAGCATGCATTCTCCTCCCTGTCTGGCCTGTTTGGCAAATCTCTCAGGCTCCCCAGCCCCTGGCCCTGGAGCCTGTGGGCACCCTCGCCCCCCAGCCAGGGCTTCTTAACCCCCCACCCCCAGGAGCCCTTCTCTTTCCAGAAACAACCCCAGCTTAGTCCTGTCTCTGGAAATCACCTAAGCACAGAATCTTGCTATTCTGGACTCTTTGGAGCAAGAACCTCACTGACCCTGGATCCTCTTGGCTGGTCAGAGGAGGAGGATTAGACAAGAACCCCCACCCCTGGTCTCCAAGGAGAAAGGGGAAAAGGTATGGCCTGGGCCCTCTGGGGTTGTCAGCCTGGCTCCAGACCCTCCCAGGTCCCTTGCTCTGCCAGAGGGACCGAGTGCCCCAGACAGGAACTGCTCCAGGGACCAGCCTCAGTTCAGTAGGAGGTCACAGGCCGAAGGAGGAGAGCTGTCCTCCTCCTGGGTAAGGTCCCCATACGGCTAGTTCTCACAGAACTGTCCCTTCACAGGAGCTGACACCCTTCCCCTGCCCTCTTGTGATGCCCCCAGGATGTATGCCACCGGCCCCAGTAGAACCCCCTGGGCGCTATAGCTGCATCTCATCCCAGGCACCAACAGAAAAACCCTGCTACCCCCAAGGACAATTAGGCCTCGCAGGAAGGGAAAGACGGTGTGAGGACACAGAGCAGTCCTCAGGGCCCAGGAACCCTGTCTCGGAGCAGACCGCCTGCCTGCCTGTAAGTTCCCAGGCCCTTGCTGTCTCTCCCCTGGGCACTGAACTGTTTTCCATACCATGCCCTGGAGACAGGAGCTGGGCAATGCAGGGGAGGAAGAGCCACCCACCTCCTCACCCAGACCAGGCCCCGAGAGAGAGGTTGCTAGGGAGGGTGGGCGGCCTCCGTGTCACCCGGTGGGTGTGCTGGTTCTGAGGCTGCTCCTCCATCCTGCCCCAGGCTCTGCATTAGGAGGTGGGATTAGCAGTCTAGTGAGGGGAGTGGCTGTCTCGGCCCAGCTGGAAGTGGGAGCGAGGACTCCAAACTGGAGGTGAGGAAAACTGAGGGGAAAGGGTTTTGGTGAGAGGAAGATAGAAGAGGAATGAAGAGCCTTTACCCACCCATTCATCTCCCAGACTGTGTTCCATGCCCCTACCCTCTTGACCTGAGAGGAATTCAAAACCAGTAAAAGAGAGACTGTCCCTGCAGAGTCATTTCTGCGTGACTGAAGAGTCACCAGCTGCAGGATCCTGTTCGTTGCCACCCCTGCCCCCACGCACACTCTCTTAGCAACAGTTTTCAGGACCTTTCCCCACCCCAGCTTCTTCTTTTCTTTTTAATGTTGAGAGTACGTTTATTAAAGCTGGGGACAGTGAAACAGGAAGGACTTAAGACAGAAGAAGCAACAGGACAGACCTAGGTGGGGCTGCTTTGGCTCACTGAGAAGTCAGAGAAAAGGCAGCCTAGGAGGCAAGTTCAGGGATTAGCCCAGGACAAGCTGCCACTGCCCACTGCTCCCCTGGTGGCCAGTCTTGCGGGGTCTCTTAGAGCCGTGGTCGGCAAACTGCGGCTCGCGAGCCACATGCGGCTCTTTGGCCCCTTGAGTGTGGCTCTTCCTAAGCCTTAGGAGTACCCTAATTAAGTTAATAACAATGTACCTACTTATATAGTTTAAAAAATTTGGCTCTCAAAAGAAATTTCAATCGTTGTACTGTTGATATTTGGCTCTGTTTGACTAATGAGTTTGCCGACCACTGCCTTAGAGTTTAGGCGATTTGTGCCTAAGAGGGAAGAAATGGGGTGGGGAGGGGGGGCGCGGGAAAGGTGTGCAAGTGATCCCAGCTTCTAAAAGGCCGAGTCCAATCCACCCCCTCTGCCAGGGCCCTGGGCTCCCCGCTCCCCTATTGCAGGCAGCCAGAAAGGAGCACAAGACCCAGCACTTCTGTAAATATGTTTAATGCACTTAGATTACACAGAGGAAGAGGGGCAAGAAGGAAACGACATCTAAGTGAGGCAGCCAACGTTCTTACAAAAGTTCCTGGCTGGCTGCAGCCGGTAGGAACTGAGTCGCCATTGGCATTAGAAACTAATGAAAATGTTTACAAAAGCCTGCTCGTCGCAGCATTCGGGTCCTTGTACAAAAGGAGGGCTCGCTCTACAGGGCTCCTCACTTATTACAGGGACCCAGGGACCTCACCTGGCACGGAGGCCCCGGAAGCCAGAGAGGAAACACAACTGAATAAAAAAATAGTCAAGGGATTTCTTTACTGGTCTGCCCCATAGGGGCACCAACTTTTAGATTTTTTCCCTGCTCCTCAACTCAATCTCAAAACCCAGTCCCAAGACCCTGTGTTTATTTTTAAAACGTTCTAGCCCTTTTAGACTCTCCCCAAGGCTTCCCAGTCCCAGTGCTGGAGCCTGGCCTATGGGACAGGAAGAGAAGGAAAGTGCCAGCTCCCTGGCCACATCTGAGACCTTGCATGAGCCTCTCCACCCGCTCCGAGTGGCAGCTGGGTCTGTGGTCCTCTTGCAGCCCATACTGGACCCTAGGAGCCACAGAGGTCTGCCTTGTGTAGCAGGCAAACAGCACGGGGGTGCCCCTTCCTAGCACCAGGGACTGGGAGGGTGGGGTAGGACCAGGCAAACCTCAGGGAAGCCTGTGGAAGAGGCAGATGAAGGAGGGAAGCTTCTTACCTCCCCCTCACGATGAGGTCAGGGCTCTGAAGGGGCTGCAGGGAGGGAAAGAAGGGATACATTTAGTGAGCACCCACCACGTTTCAGGTGCTGTGCTAAGCACAGTACGTGGTCAGCCCTGCTTGTCTCACCAGCCAGCTCAATGGAGAACCCCTGGGAAGGCATTGCCACACAAGGGAAAGGAGGTGTGGTCAGAGACAGCGGGTGCCCTGCCACTGCCCCAGAGCCACTGCCCCGTAGGAAAAGGAAATGGAGGCCTGGCCCCAGCATGACCTTGGAGGTTCCCAACATGGGGCAGGCAGGGGCCATAGGCTTCATGGCTCATCGTCTCAGAGCTCACCTACTGCCTCCCATACTGATGACAAAGCTTATAAAATAGTCCCCTCCCCATCTCCAAACCAGGCAGGTGGAAGCAGGGCTCCAGAAAGAGAACTGGTGGAGGGCAGGTCAGGTGGCAAGGAAAGGAGGAAAGGTGATGGCACCTCTTTGGCCACGAGACATCGGAAGACAAGAGCTTCGAAGGCAAGGATGCTGTGGCAGACGGAGGCCAGGAAACGTCCTTTTGAAAAGTTCTGAGAAGGCACAGCTGCTCCCAATGTCAGGTCCAGAGGGTTGCACCTTGGCTGCTGGGAGCCTGGAGTCCATCTCTCCCATACTCCAGGCTGATCTGCCTTGAAGCTCTGAGTTTGATGGAATTAACCAGGTAGCCCTAAGGGTGTGTGCAGAGAAGGGGCCAGGCTCCTTGGAAGTCCAATTGCTGCTCCCTGGAGAGACGGTCACTGCCTTCACGGCTCCTGGAGGCAGCTTTGTCGGGATCTCTCATCAGAGGGGTCCTGTACCCGTGGGCCTCCTGTGGCCTCCTGGTGTGTATGGTGGTGTAGACGGGGCAGAGCATAGTCCTGTGTGATCCCTGACAGACAAAATGGCTTTTCTTTGGACAGGCCTGAAGAATGATCTTGAAATAGCAGTCCCTAGAGTTGGGGGTAAAAGGGCATGCATGGGGCTTGTTGATTTCAGGACAGAAGTGGGAGAACATCCAAGAGGGACCCCAAGACCACAGGCCAGAAATAGGTTGGCTTCCGGGAGGAAGACCATGAGAACTTCAGTATTGGGGCAAGGGATTAAGGACCCAGAGAGGCCCAGAGGCAGGACAGGAATGGGGAATGAAAGATGAGAAATGAATGGATGCAGGAGGATAGAAGAGCGGTGGAATGCAGTGTTTGCAAAATCAAAGTGAAAGCCGTTGAGAGGGTTACTTTTTCCATTTTTAATAAGCCAGAGTCCTGCAGCCTGGAGGCTGGGAGGCCCAGGGGATGAGGAAATGGGGCAGGAGTGGTCAAAGAGCTGGAGACCCAGGCCCTGAGTGGCAGGTGGGGATGATCTGTGAGGTGCTGGGCCTCACCCTCTTCCAGGCAAGCCTGGAAGACGAGGCTGAGGCTTCCAAGTCTCTGAGACCCTGACGGTCCTTTAACTTTGTGGGGTCCAGTCCACTGGGAAGCAGCAGCACCCCTTCTTGGCCCAGCTTAACTGGACTCAAGGCTTCATGGGGTAGTCTCAGCTCTCCCCTGCCACAGGCTCTACCAGGCCCACCTGGGAAGAAAAGCCTCTCTGAAGCTGGCTGCTCTGGGCCCTGGGCAGGCAGGTGCACACCATACCTTCTCTGGTGGCGGCTCAGAGGGAGTTAGCCCCAAGCCCTTGTCTGAGAGAATGCAAAAGTTCATCTGGCAATAAAGTTCTGTTTAAAAAACATTATATACACAGCTTCTGGACATCTTTGAAGAGCAATAAAATACCATCGGTTTCTACAAAATAAAATAGAGGAAGAAAACCAAACACAATCAGAGGAATTGTTCGGTGGCAGGAGGAGCTTGACTACCAAAGGCTCCCAGATTGAGCTGGGCAGTGAGCCCCGAGGGCCACTCCACCTCCTTCCTGCTGGGTGCTCGGCAGGGGGTAGGTGAGAGGAGGCCTGAGACCGAGGGGCACATTAAAGGTCCAGAGTCACTTCTCAAACCAGAACTTGAGGCGGCAGCAGGAAAGGAAGGTTTGCATTTGCCCACTCAGTACCCAGTGGGATCAGGGCCTGGTCATGTGGGCTTGGCACTGCAGGTGAGGCGGAGGTCAGCTGCCCATGCCCAGCATCCCGCCGGGCTGCAGGTGCTCGGTCATCCTCACACTTGTCCTTTCATTGGTGGGACTCTCCCTTACACCGTTGTGACACCGGAAGTCACCGGGGAGCAGCTGGGCTCTCCTCTGGCCCCTGCAGGGCCCAGCCCAGGCTAGTGCAGTGGACTATCGAACACCACATCAGGCAGGATGGAGACTTTCAGCTTCTTTTCAGGCCAGCTGTACTCTTTGGGGAGTTTGAACTGTGGAGGGAGCAAGCACAGAGCCAAAGTGCACACGTTAGCAGAATCCACTGCCTCCCCCCAGATTGCCTAGAGTGGCCGGGACTCTCACCCAGGCCTGTCCCTGGTGCTGGGACAGGCCAGGCCACTGGTTGCCTGGTTTCAATCTCAAATGCTAGACCCAGGTGGGTGGCTGAAGTCAAGCTGCTGGAGTTCGTGACCCCTTCCTCCTCTACCCTGGCCGGGCCAATAATTAACCCCAGGTTGGAGGAGGCATGTTTTCTAACTCTTTCTTGACTGTGCTGACCTCCCTCCAGATCACTTCCTTGGTTCTGCCTCTGGCCACAAGCATGTAAGGAATCTATTCCCTGAGGCCCTAGGGCTGGAGAATGGGGGGCAGGGGGAGGGTACAGATACTACAGGGAAATGGCTTGAGGTCTAAAACTGCAAACCTGTCCCTGCCATGGCTTCTCTTGTGAAGGCTGGTGCAGGACACTGAAACCTGCCCTCTGTAGCTTTTGCCAAAGGGACCAAGGGAAGGAGGCCCTGACTTGGCCTCAGAGGGAGCAGAGGCACAGAATGGCTGGAGGTGGTTTCTTGGGTCTGGTCATCCTCAAGAAGAGCAAACCCTCCACCCTGCGCCCCCTTGCTCATCCTCATCTGCTTCCCAAGGTTACCAGCCTGAGCGTGGTCCCAGCGGTGGCCAAGGGGAGTCCAAGGCCTTCCTGTCCCACCCGGGAATCACTGATTTGCTTACAGTTTTGTTTCTAGAGCTTCTGGTGGGGGTAGAGGAAAGAGACGGATACATCTTATTCCCTCTATACTCTAGGCCCCTGAATGTGATCTGGCACACAGCTAGTGCTCAACAGATGTCACTAACTGGGGAATAGGGTCCACCGTTCATGACGCTCACTGTCCTGGGCTAGGCGAGAGGTCAGGCCAGGCTGGACAGGAGGAAGAGCAGGCCCTCAGCCTTCCAGCTGGGCTGGAAGCGAACAGGCCTGATATTTCCTGGCTTGCTCCCTGTACCTCCCTCTGATGGGGGACTGTCCAAGCCAGGACTAAATGGAGAGTGGGACAAGGGATGGGGACAGCCTCCGGACAGGAAAGAAAGAAAAAAAAGTCATTTTTAGTGACCTACTTTGCTAAGCTTCCCCTGGCTCCTGTCCCTCCTGCCTGCCCCCCCCCCCCCCACCCCCTCAACATCCAAGCTCGGAGCAGCAGCTGGCACAGCGCCACCCAGTGCTCCATGGCCTCTCCGGAAGCGCTTCTGGGCAGCTGGCTCTGTCTGTCTGAATGGGAGCTGGGCCTCAGGGACCAGTGGCTTGTGGGGGCTGATTGGCTGGCACAGACTGGGTGCTTGGTGACTCTGAATGTATAAATGAGTTAATTTATCAAGCTGTATCCCAGAGGAGAGAGAAGACACTGTCCTATTAGGGGTGACCTCAGGCTCAGAAGTTCCTGTCCACCTGGAGCCTGGACAGGACAGGCCCGCCCTGTGCACTCTTCCTGCACCCGTGATGTTGGCGCCGCCTGTGCTATGTAGCCCAGGAGCCTGGCAGCTGGGAGCTCCTGGCTGAAAGCTAGCTCCTGCCTGGCCTCTCTTGGGCCTGAAAGCTTGGACCCTGGGAAGTGAAGGAGCTCTCCCCCAAACACACTTCCCGGCAGAAAGGGCCAGGGGAGGGCCTGTCTCTGCCACAGGCAGGGGAGGGCCCAGAAGAACTCTCTGGAGGCCGTGGCCAGCTTGCTAATGTTCTACTAACCTATCGGGCATCAAGGCCAGGAAGGCTCAGATCCCACTGGGGTGCTGCTTAGTAGGAGGCCAGGGGAGGCGAAGGGACTTTCCAGGATGAGGTAAGTCCCTGCAAATGAGGATGCCGGGAACAAGGAAGAAAAACAAAGGGCATTATGGGCTCCAGTCCTGTACCCCCGAGGAGCAGCCAAGGAAAGCACAAGTGCCCACCTGGCCTGCCAGCTCCTCAGGCTCTGGGCTAGGGTTAGAAGAAGCAGACCAAGAGGGAAGAGCCTCTGGCTGGGGGAGGGAGGCAGGAGAGTGGCTCCTGGGTGGCCTGAGGCGAGAGCAGGAGTCCCTTGCTGCCCACCAGAACTCCCCCGTGGAATGTTCTCTGGCAGAGGCATGAGCTTTCTGTTCAGAAGCTGCCAGGAAACAGCAGGGCTGGGGAGCTCTCGCACTAGCCTGAAGGCCCTGGCTGCCCTTCAATGAGGTTCTCAGGAGCAGGCGATTCAGTTTGCTGGGTGTCCTTACGAGGGCTGGGTGGTGGGAAGACAGAGAGGAATAAAGCTGTTTAACATCTCGAGTCTCTCTTCCAGCCTATCCTGACACCTGAGAGAGAGCGAGGAGGAGGGAGGGATGGAGGGAGAGAGAAAGAGAGAGACAGACATGCATGCCCGCTCCTGGAGACCTGAGCCCTCTGTCAGAATCAAATAGGCTTACTTCCTCTGGAGAAGTCAAATCTTCTAAGTCCTCCAACATTTTCTCTACAAACTCTTCCGTCAATAGAATCTGGAAAGAAAGCATAAGACTTTTATTTTATGTTTTCAATAGATGGTCTTTTTGCCAAATGTCAAGCTATGGACCTTCTCCTGGCCATGGAGATCTGTTCTAGGGACAGAGGGAAGTGCTTGAGGCCTATCCTGACTTGTCCCCCCACCCCCACCCCCACTCCCCCACACCTGCCTGCAGTATCAGAGGAACTAGGGTAAAGAAGGAAGGGCGTCAGAGGACAACAGGGAAGAAGGTGGGCACATCTGGAGGGGCAGCGGTGCTGGGCCCAGAGGGATATGGAAATGGGTGGGAAAATGCGGTTTGGGCAGTTGGGGCCTCCTGCAGGTTTCAGTAAAGCCGAGGGGCAGAGAAGAGCGATTGCCAACATCCTTGCCCGAGCAGGTCACATGTTCCCCTCGCCCTCATTTGGTAGGACAAAAGGAATCTGTTTGGGTTTGGAATACAAGCCGGTCTGGAATCTGGAAATGCCCCGGAAGGTACATCCAAGAATGTGCTGGAGAATTTGGAGACTGTGCACCAATCTCTTGTTTTACAAATGGGCAAAGGGACTCTCAACTCCCACTTCCATCTGTGGTATCCACATTCTCTCAGGCCGGAAGCTCCCAAACTCCCGTCCTGCGGCCCATTTAGCCTGAGTTCTTCAAAACTCAGAGAAAGCTCTTTTCCAGTTCGCCTCCCAGCTGTCCCACTTTGCTGCTCCCGTCTGCTGCCTTGTCACGTTATACGTTGATGTCTAGGACAGCCTGGCCCCACTATTCAGCTGGCACAACCACCACCCTCACCCTCTACAGAAGTTTCACACCCATGGGGATGTCCAAGGACACTGGGCCTTCCTCAGGCGATGGGCCGTTTTCCCAGCTGGCTCCTCTGTTCAGGCTGGCTCTAGAGCCAGGCTGGGCTCACCCCAGGCCTGCACCACACCGGGACCGGCCTGAGGATGTCTCTCCTCTTCCCAAGCCGACCCTTCTCCACCCCTCTCCTCTCTGTGCTGGTGCGTGGGGCCTCCTGCACCAGACACTTCCACACCACCAGGCTGTGGCTCTCCCTGCTGCCACTTTGCCTCCTCCGGCAGACTCTGAATGACCTGGTGTGGCCAGAGGAAGAAAAACAATGGGCAAAGACCAAGGTGAAGGGCTCCCCTGAGGGAAAACCCTCTATGAGAAGGATGGGGATCAAGAAGTTGAGAAAATACCCATCAGGTTTCCCCTGGGAATTGTACACTCTGATAAGAGCAGAAATCCCAACATTTAGCATATAGTCAGCTTGGGATATGAAGTGAAAAAGCAGCAGGGTCACTAGGACCTTACAGGATAGAGGACTCCGAAGGGAGGAGGTTAATGGGGTAGAGATAGGAGCAAGGAATGAGCGAAAACGACCCCGAGTGAATACACCAGCCACCACCCCAGGCATCCTGCTCAATGCTCAGTCTTATCCCCTCGTCTCCTTGCAGATGAGGAACCTGAGGCACAGATAGGTTATGTAATCTGCCCAACACCACACAGCTTGTGAGTGGCTGGGACAAGACCATATCGCAGTCATTCCTGGACTTTGAAGTGAGTTAGTGCCTCAAGTACTGCTTCATTTCAAATCCTGAACTCTTACCCACATGATGTTTATGCATTTGCTCATTCTTCCACTCATCTGCCCAACAATCTACATGATTCCACAGCATTCCCTGGGTGCCTCCGCTAGGCCCAGCCCTGGGTGGAGCCCCAGGGACATAGGAATGAAGACAATTCATTCCCCACCTGGACATCCCCCACCCTGTTGACAGGGAGCCAAAGGACGTCTCCATTTCGGGCCGTAAGCCCACAGTCAGGAACAAAACAGCTCCGACCACTGGCCCACGTCTCCTCACTAAAGTTTCTGTTTGAGGAGCTCAGGCCTCAAGTGAGGACAGAGACAAGGTTCAGACAGGCAAAGGGAAACGCCCAGCCCAGGGCTGAGGTGCCCCTCCCGCCCCGTTCTTCCTCCCAGTTCCGCACAGTGGGACTGGCTGACTTCCTCTCACGGACTACAGTGACCAGTTCCCAACCCCACGGATCCTCCCACAGGGGTTTTGCTCCTTGCTCCTCCTCCTATTATCCCAGGGGCCCACCCCCTCCCCCCGCTCCCCCGCCAAGTCCAGGGTTTCTCTACCAGTTATCACCAGTCTGCCTGAGTAGTACAAAAGTCACATTCATATTTTTGGCATTTCCGGGACTTGTTGCCATCTCTTCAAATGCTAGTACAAACATAAGCATACCTAAAACCCAGTTATATTACAATGGCTCCAGTCTGGGGCAGGCTGGGCTGATTTCTAGCCCACAAATAACTTGGAGGGAGAGACTTTTCTGCCAGAGGTAAATAGGTCTGGGGCTGAGAGGAGGTGGGGGAGGGCTCACAGGGACTGTGGCCACCCAGTGCGACTCCGAAGAGCTGTTTTACAATAATGAAAAAGATGACGCCACCAACGCCGAGTTCAGTCCTGAGCCGGTTCCTCTGACAAAGGCCTGGAATTGGTGGTGGGGAGGGTGGGTTATGGTGGCTTTTAGTAGAACAACTACCAAGGGTGTAGGGTACCATCTGTCTGTGGACTCACTCTGTACTCTGCTGGGAGAGGGGATGGCAGGACCAAAAAGGGGGACCAACCCTAATTGCTGGTTAATTTTCACTTTTGATGATTTGCTGGTTCCTGCTGGAAACTTCAAATTATTTTAAAGAAACTAAACGAGGTAAAATTATACATGAGATCTGCATGATATTAAGGGTGACATTCCCTGCAAAGGAACACGACAGACTGTCATAGCTCCAGGCACCTAATTTAATTTCCTTTGGGAGTTAAACCTTAGACGCTTGAATTCAACAAAGACCCCGTTCTTTGTATATTTCAGACCTGGAGCTGAGAATGTTAACAGATCTTATCAACAGGACACTGGAGATAGACAGCTATGATGGAGCACTCTCACTGGTAACAGACTCCCCGTTGTGATACAACTGTGGGAAAAGCCTGTGCAATTCTGGGGCTTGGGCTTCTTGAAGCTCATTGGGTCCCCATGGAGTTGCCTGGCTCTGCCACAAATAATAACAGGAACGGTGATGACAACGACAGTAGCAATGACACCACCACCAATAGCAGGAGCAGCGCCTCCTCTGTGTGCCAGGCACTGGGCTGAGTGCTTGACCTATATTGTTTCATTGAATCTTTACGGCAGTCCTGCAAAGGAGGAAACTACCATCTCCATTTTGTAGACAAGCAGGTCAAGAGTCTCCTGGACTTCAAAGGAACAGTGACCTGCTCTGGCTAGTGCTGCCCGGTGGTTACAGCATCAGCCAGCATACCAAAGAGCTGCAGGTTCAATACCCAGTCAAGGGCATGTACTTGGGTTGCAAATTTGATCCTGGCCTGGTCGGGACACATGCGGGAGGCAACCAATCGATGTGTCTCTCTCGAATTGATATTTCTCTCCCTCTCCCTCTCTCTTTCTCTCTCCTTCCCTTCTACTCTCTCTCTTAAAAAAAAAAAAAAAAAACCATGGGTGAGGATTAACATAAAAGAAGAGCAATCTGGCCCTAGCCGGTAGATCAGGTGGTTAGAGCATCGTCCTGATACGCAAGGTTGTGAGTTTGGTACAAGATGCAACCAATGAATGCATAAATAAATGGGATAACAGATTGATGTCTCTCTCTCTCTCTGTCTCACTTCCTCTCTCTCTAAAATCAATTAAAAAAAAGGGGGGGGACAGTAATCTGACCTCATGGTAGTAGAGGCTCTTTTTCTATCTGGGGAAGGTAGCCCGATTCTAGAAACCTTATATAATCAATGCCAACACCGCTCTCTCCTCTGATTGGGGAGATGAAGATGACTTTGACCAATGGCCTGGAAAATCAACAATCCCAACCCCAACTAGCCACGTAACACCTGGCTAGTTGCTCAGCTCAAAAGGGCTGGTACCCTGAGGGGCATAGACATACCTGCTCAAAAACCAGATTGGACATGTCCAGCTGGGATGGCTCAGTGGTTGAGTGTCGACCTATGAACCAAGAGGTCACTGGTTCGATTTCTGGTCAGGGCACATGCCTGGGTTGAGGGCTTGATCCCTGGTGGGGGGCCTGCAGGATGCAACCAATCCATGTTCCTATCTCTCTATACCTCTCCCTCTTTGTAAAAATCAATAAAAACATTTTAAAAAACCAACAGCCTAGGATGCCCAATTGGAAAGGAAGGCAAACTCATGCCCAAAGATGGTTTCCAAGTGGGACAGCAGGGAAAGTTTCCAGGCTAGCTGGAGAATGCATACATAAGGCAACAGTTACTCTGGTCCAGAAAACAGCAGTATAAATAATGATGATGATGAGGATGAGGATGAAATTGTAATAGCACTCATTGATGTCTGCACTCACGCAATGCTGGGCATAGAATGTTTATATTTGTGTACAAACAGCCCTCGGAGGGAAGAGACACTCTACTGAGAGGGGAAAGCCCCCCAACCAACCTCCCTTGGGAAGTTTTTGAAAATATGCAGACTAGGCCCCATCCAGACCTCCGGAATCAGAATATCCTGGGCAAGGCCAAGCATGTGTGTTTTATTATTATTTTTAAATATATTTTATTAATTTTTTACAGAGGAAGGGAGAGGGATAGAGAGTTAGAAACATGGATCAGCTGCCTCCTACACACCTCCTACTGGGGATGTGCTTGCAACCAAGGTACATGCCCTTGACCAGAATCGAACCTGGGACCTTACAGTCCTCAGGCCATCGCTCTATCCACTGAGCCAAACCGGTTAGGGCGGCATGTGGGTTTTAAAAGGTGCTCCAGGAAATCATGGCGGGGGAGTGCCGGAAATACTCAAGTTCACAGGGGGACAGAGCTTGGGCACAGGCTTAACCAATAGGGTGAGTTGGTGGCTGCAGCTCCTTGCCCTCATCACACCCCACCTTTGATCAGGGAGGGGGCTTGGGATCTAGGCCAACAACTTAGTCTAAGTTACTCACACCAGGTACCTTGGGACAGCCTGGCTGGTTGGTGATGAGGGAGGATTGTCAACAGCTGCCCAATTTCCCAGGCCCCAGCAAGTTCCAAAAGAAACTCAAAAAGTGATTGTTTGTCAGTGCCTGCCCTGGGCAGGTCTGGCTATGCTACAGGCAGAAGCCCAGATGCTGCAGATCGGATTCAAATGTCTGTGGTCAATGATATTTCTGAGTCTGCAAATAGTGCTGACAATGCCCACTCCTTCCCCTCGGTATGACAATCCACACTCTGTCCGGGGCCTTGTTTGCATTTCGTGTAGACACGTTGTTCTTGCTTTCCAACAAGTTTGGATTTCTTCTTCTCTCTCTTCCTTCTCTGAGGGAAGGAAACGTGTTGTTTACAGGGCAGGGCCTGCCAAGGAGCTGGTCTGGCACCCATGATGGCAGTGGAGGAGGCAGGGATGAGGAAGCGGTCCAGTCTGTGTCCCCCTCACTCCAACATACAGACACAAGCCAGAAAACAGCCCAGAGACTCCAGGCTCAGGGCAGCGTGTGTGGCAGGCAGGCCTCACTCATTTCCTATTCTCAGTGGGTGGCGAGAAGCTGGCTCTGGTGGAGAGGAGGAGGCTCAGACTCCTCCTGCTCTGGCTGTTGGTTGGCTGGTGAGGGCACCGTGGGCCATCACATCACCTCCTGAAAGGGAGGGTGGTATACTTCCCCAGCACAGTGCCGGGATCTAAACCCTAATGGGTGTACCCTGGACAATGAGGTCACCATGACAGCCCGCGCAAAGGCTTCCGGGGAGAACAGCTGTGGCCAGGTTCACCAGTGGAAGGAGAAACCGTAGAGCCACTGAAGAGGAGCTGCCCAGGGCCTGGGCCAGGGATTACCACGTGTCTTTCACACACATCCAAGTGGGTGGGTAGGGAGGGGAGAGGGCAGGGCTTTTCCTGAGGACAGTGATGAGTCAGAGGAGGAGAGCCCAGCAGTGAGTCCCTAAACCTGGCCTGCAGGGTGGAGCCACTCAGAACAGCTGCAGGGTGTCTTCTCCCAAGCCTGGGACCTCCCATCAGGGCTGGGAGAGAATGGCTGGGAATGGGAGCACCACCTGGGTGAGCTGTCAGACACCACACAGCTGAGAAAGCATTGCAGGGCTTAAAAAATATTCTCATATTTGGTGATGTGACCCCTACCTAACCTCTGGGGCCGACTTCCTCCCCTTCAGATCAGTGCTGGCTGGGGACGGATGAATGACTTAGCTCTGGGCCGGGCTCCCACTCACAGCACTAACAGCATGGTGATGATAGACTCAAGGGAGAGGGCTTGTTCAAGCCACCGAGACCAAGAATGCTGGGGGAAGGCAGGCAGGAGAGAATGCTGGCAGGCCTCCCCCAGGGTCTGAAGACCTGCCTGCACAGCTCCAGAGTTAGCTGATGGGCTCTACCATCTCGATGAGGGTGAAAACAGCAGATGGTAGGGCAGAGGGAGTCAAGGCGTCCACCTCTGGAAATTGAGAAGCCTAGGAATTGGAGCAGGAATCTGCCTCTCCAGCTCCTCCAGGAAGCAGGGCGCGTCCACTGTGCTCACCCTGGGGTCGCCGATGACCCTGCCTTTCTGTGTTGCTGGGGCCCGACTTTCCTGGGGCTGGAGAGACAGGGAGAAAAGCAGCATGGAGAACAGGTGCAGGCCCAGATTCCCTCACTTTCTGCCTTTTTCTCTCAGCCTCTCCTTTGTCACTCTCCTCCCATGTGGGGTGTCTTTGCCATGCCTTTCCCCCAAGAGATAACAGGCCTGGGCTGGTAGCCAGAACAAGGTGCCAAGGCTGGAAATGAAGGCTTCCAAGACTGTTGAAGGCTGATGCAAGAAGTCATCCAGCCCCTCCCAATTCAGCTGGGACCAACAGGAAGGTTCAAGTAGCAGCCAAGAAAACAAAAGTCTGGGTCTCTTGCCCTTGCTGGTGACAAGCCTAATCCCAGGCCTCTAGGAGGTCCTGCAGACTCCCAGGGAGACAGGCAGCCTCAGAAGGAGACCTTCAGGCCCACAAGTAATTACAGGCCCAGGTTCCCACAAGCTAGGGAGCTGCCTGTGACCACAGTGGCAAGACCCTAAAGGAAGGAGGCTGGCAGTGAGATGCAGAAAATGCTGACTGCTGGGATGGGGAGGAGGGCTGCTGTGGGTGTTGGTACTATGGCTGAGGACCGGCTGGGGGCAGGGCAGAGGTTTCCCAGGACTTTCTGGAAAGGGCCTGAGAAACCCCTTGGTAAGTGAGGGTGCGTGCCTGGGGAGTGAGGCCCTAGCCAGCTTTCCTGGGAGCTCCCCTGTGAGTTGGCCCCTGTGGTGGACCACACTAATGAGCCCCTAACACAGGCCTTTGATTAAGCAGCTCCCAGCACAGCAACTTTATTGAAACATGCTGAAGCCAGCGGCTGGTTCCCACTGCTCCCGGTTCCCCAGGCAACAGTGAATGGGAGGGGACCATGTGCATGGGAGTAGCAGAGCCCTAGTGCTCAAGCTCACTGAGGGGCTGCAGGCGAGATGAGGGGAGCGGAGGTGGACTGGAATGCCAGAGCTGGGGACAGGAGGCTTGGGAACTAGGGTTGGGTCCAGAACTTTAGGGGGACTGATGGGCAGCATGGCATCTGCTGAGTCCTTGGGAGTTCAAGGTCCCCACGCTTGTGAGAATTGGAGATGCTGACCACCCCCTCCTCAGGGTAAGAAGATGTTCTTAGGGGAAGGTGGGACTCCAAAAACAGGTTCAGAATTGAGGATATAAAATGTAATGGGCGGGGCGGGGGGGGCGGGGTTTATTGTTGAGTTCTGGGAGGCCCCAGTCTCTACTTTCCCAAGAAACCGTGCTTGAACCTTCAATATACGCTAATGTTATCTGAGGACATTGCTGCTGAGACCTGTCAGCACTCGGTCATCTACTGGGAATGATGTCCTGTGAACTCTCAGGGCTGGGGCCTCCTGCATGGTCCTCGCCTTTCCCCTCTTTACTGGCTCTGCCCAGGCACGAGGCCTGCTCCTACCTGCTGTCCGCAGAGGCAGCCTGGGGGCCGGGGGCACCGCTGCGGGTGGGGTGTGGAGGCCCTTTCCACTTGTACTAAGCTCATTTCAAATGTTACACTTCAGAGCTTTTGCTACAGTAACTATCAACACCACATGGACAGAAATCTAATGTTACCAAGAGGGACTTTTAAAATGTATTTATAACTTTATGGTTCAAAGTAATTTTGTTATGAAACAATGTAATAACAACAGTGGAAAAAGGCAAGATAATTTATGGAGCACAATATCCCTAAAGCACCAGCCTCCATTTCTACCTTGGCTGAGTCTGGGGAGTGTGGTTGGTGTCCCTTGCTTGCTGTTTGTTTTAATTAAGGGTTAGTATTTTGGGGGGAGGGGGAAAGAGTGCTGGCCTAAAGGAGGAGAAATTCAGCTGCAAGGCAACACACACACGCAGACAAAAGCATGCCCACATTAACAGTGTGTATGTTTCACAGAACACCCGCCCCCCAGACCGTGTTAAACCCACAAAACCCACACAACTCTCTTCTCCTCTCCTGTAATCTCCCACCCTCACCCACAAACAAGGCAGGTCACCTTTTGGATTAGGGTCAGAGTCCCTTTCGTGATACTCCTGGGAGAGGTAAGGCAGAGTGTCCCTCCTCCCGCTCGCCCAACAAACAAACAACAGACAAGGATGTTGCTCCTCGACTTCCCCTGGACCAGGCCAAGCACCTAGGAGGCCGGAAACAAGGTGGGGTCGGAAGGAGGCCTGTAGCTGTCAGCCCGGCAGCCCGTTTGGCAGTGGCTCTGAAGCTGTACTCCAGCCAGAAGAGCAAAGGAGAAAAAAGTGTTCTGGACAAGCCAGCAGGTTTCTGTGCAGAGAAGCTGGGTCTCCACCAGGAGGAATGGGAGAGCCATTAGATGAGGGGAGGGAGAGGCTCTGCCTGCCCATCCCAGCTCCAGGTCCACATGCCCATTTTCTAGGAATTCTGGTGGGGTTTCCACAGGCACTCGAGAGTGGCCCCCACACGTCCTCCCATTCTACTTCACCCTTGGCTTCCCCAGGGTGCAGAGCACATCCCTAAAACCTGGATTTCCATGGCAAACAGAACTACCAATGGCCAGGGCCTAGAGAGTTATCACTCATGTCTCAAGTGATAGGGGAGAGGCCAGGAAGTGCTCCTGGAGCTGACGGGATGGGCAGCAGCAGCCACACTCCACACGGCTTCTCATAACCAGCCCTCAGGAAGGGAGCCACCAAGAGCTGCCAAGGGAGGAGAGGGAGGAGACGGGAGCTGGAAGAGCTCATGGAAAGGAGGTGGGAAGAAGAAAAAGAGCCTTCTCACTTGTAACCAGGGTCCATGAGCTGCGTAAGGGTGCTCCTCAGTGGCAAAGGCACCTTCCACTCCCGTGGAGACGAATGTGATGGCCATGTCACCTGTGATACTTTTATATGTAAAGTGCCGTCCATGCAGGAGCCTGCCCCTGGGGGTGGGAACAGGAAGACAGTGAGCAGCAGGCCTGGCCAAGGCTCAGGGACTGGGGCTATGCTCCCTGGGACAGGATGCCTGCCACATGCCCTCCTGACTGCCCACCAGTCCAGCAGGGACTGTAACGAAACATGTTCATTTCAACACCTTCCAAGAGAAGCCTCTCACGATTTCTCTCCTGGCGTTCTTCCAAAGTGCTCAAAGCTAGCAGAGACACTAGATCAGCATTCGAAGGGCCTGCAGGGGAAGTCGAGTCCGCCTCCTTCATGTCCTGGTGAGGCCAGAGGGCAGTTAGCAGTGCACCCAGGTCATGCCCAGAGCTAAGGTGGGGTGGGTGGGTCATGGCCCCTTTGTTTAGCGGATGGGGGTGAAGTAGTTCCTAATTTCCCCCTCTTGGATGACGGTGGAGTGCCTTCACAGCACAAGCCCTGTGCCCAGAATCTCCCACCTGCTTGTGCACCTCCCATAAATGACTAGCCACAAGGGGAAAGCCCATTTTTAATTTAAAAAAAGAAAGAAAGAAAAGAAAAGCTGCAGCCAAGTGGGGTCACTCCGAGGGAGCACAAGAAGTCACTGTGAGTCCCCAGTCTGGAAATACATCTGGGGGACGGGCAGGCAGGAGCAACCGGTGGGGCAAAGACGCCACTCAGCAAAGGAAGCAGAGCTGCTCTTTGCTTTCTCAGGCTGCCCCAGATTAACCCTTTCATAATCGAAAGGCCCTGAGCCTGGCTCAGAGAGGGAGCTGGGGAGGAAATGCCTAGGGTCCTAGCTGTGGGGAGAGGGGGGACCCTGCCAGCCGCCATTCATCCTGACTACTAGCTATCTTTGCCCTGCTAACCAGGGTGGCTGGCCAAGCCTGTCACCATCCAAGTTCCTTCCCCAGGCTCCAGGGACAGTGTGGAGGGTCCACACCAGTGCAGATCTGGTTCTAAAGCTCGCATCTTTGGCCAACACACTATACAAACGTTTATGTCACAATGACTTGTTCTTCCCTATGATAGCAGCAGGAGCTTTTGGGGGTCCTTCTTCCCCTGCCCTTTCTTCCTTGTCACTGTTGTCTGAGTTTTGAGTTATTCTTGTAGTCTCCCCTGCAATAAACAGGGTGGAACCCCTGAGAGCTATGGAGGAAGCCAGCTGCAACAGATTCAGCCCAGTACAGCATCCCCAAGCAGAGAGCTGAACTCTGGACACAGGGCTGGGTTTCTGGCACTGTGGACAGTAGCAGAAGGGACACAGCTGGGCTTCCTGGCCCCTCGAGGAGTCTGCTGGACTGGCCACTGGGTTTGAAGAACTGAGTGTTTTACATGGGAAAAGCAGCAAGCAGGAGAAAGCAGAGCCCAATCCACCAGAGCCCTGCCCTACTACACCAGTGCGATGGGGACCCTGCCACCCCTAACTCTGGGTTTGGGGGAGGGCAGGGGCATCTGAGATGCCCTATGTCACTGAATCCCCACCTAAGGGAACAGGGCTGAGGGCCACTTCTCTGGACAAAGGAGAGATCTTCAGCATAGTGGGGGCTACTGGGCGGTTCAGAGTCCGCAGGCTCCCCCACAGGCTTCCATGGAGCTGCCCGACTAGTTCTCCTCCCTCCTTGGGCCCCAGACTCCAGCCAGGTGTGGGGGGAGATGGCAAGCACAGGCACGGTGGCTCCTTGAGGCCAAGTTGGGTGCTGAGGGGCTCTCACCTTAGGCAGAGAGGGATGAGGGCTCCTGACTCTTGGTTGAATTTCAGATGTACACTCTCAAGTTGCCGTGTGCGGATCAGCTCATGGGGGATAATGGCTGTGGAGCTGTCGCTTTCCAGGCTGTCTTTGCGGCTCCTGTGAAGCAAGCACAGGAATAGGTTCTGACCACAGGGCGGAACAAGACGGGCGTCTCCCAGGCTGGGATCCTGAACAACGGCAATGGCAGTCATTGATGGTAATGACAACAACAGCCACCACTCAGTAAGGACCTGCCCAGCCAAGATTTGGAAGCAGTCAAAGTCTCCATCAGTAGATGAGTGGATAAAAAAGCTGTGGTAGATTTATACAATGGAGTACTACTCTCCTGAAAAAAGGAAAAAATATTACCCTTTTGCGACAGCATGGATGGATCTGGAGAACATTATGCTAAGTGAAATAAGCCAGTCAGAGAAAGACAAGTACCGTATGATTGCCCTCATGTGGAAGTTAATGAACAAAAGAACTACCAAGCAAAACAGAGACAGACTCATAGATAGAGAGAGGCAGACAGCTCTGGGTGGCGAGGGGGTGTTGGGGGGTTGGTGGAGGGACTGAGCAAAAAAGGGAACAAAAAGAATGAGAACTCATGGACATGGACGACAGTGTGGTGACTGCAGGTGGTGGGGGGCAGGTGGAGGTGGAAGAGGGCACAGAAGGGATAAATGGTGATGGATAAAATATTTAAAATTTTTAATTAAAAAAAGAACTTGCCAAGCAACCTTACAACACCCCACGAGGTGGGCATAACTATTCTATTCCTTTACAGATAAGGAACTGAGGATCAGGGAGGGTAAGTAACTTGTCCAGGCTGCACAGCCAGGGAGTGTGAAGCTGGGATGTGGTTGCAGATAGATCTGGCTCTGAAGCGCGCATCTTTGGCCAACACACTGTATAAATGTTTATGTCACGGTGACTTGTTTTTCCCTATGACAGCAGCAGGAGCTTCTGGGGTCCTTCTTCTCTGACCCTGGAGCCTCGGACTCCGAGTTCTCTGTGGCTGCTAGAAACCCAGGAGACAGGCTCCAAGAGCTTCCTTCCAGCTGACTCGGAAAGGCTCTAGGCTTACATACTTCTGCTAATGGCCAGGAGCTGCAGTGACATACACATCCTTCGTCTAAGCAGGAAATGATGCAGTCCTCAGCGAGGGGGTGGAAGCCAGGCTCTCAGGAGGCAGACCAGTGAGCCTGGACGGGCTGCAGAGCCCTGTACCAGAGTGTGACTACGGCCTTGGCCACAGTGAGCTGTCATTGCTGCCTCATAGTCCCTCCTGTCCTGCTTCCTACCAACAGCTTGTCCCACAGCTCAGCCACGAGGTCCTGTGGCAATCTAAGATTTGCTTTTTCAAGTTCAGCTGCCCCTACTGAAATGCCTCAAATCTGCCTCAGCCAGAAATGAGGGTTACCCACTGATCCCATTCAAAAGGCCGGAACCTGGTTTGGGCAGTGAATCTCAGAACAATTCCCTAGTGTCCATCAAAATACTGGGTGAGAAGCTCTAGTTATTTATAATTCAAGTGGCCAAAGCCACCCAGGATGTCTGGGCCTGACAGGCGGAGAGCCAGTGAGGGGCAGGGCCAACCTCCTCACACACTGGAAGGCTGAGCGCTGGGGTCTGTGGCCAGTGAGGCAGAGGACCTCCCCAGAGGGAGGTATGAGGTCAGCAGGCAAGAGGCTGGAGGGTGACATAGGCTAATAAAAGCCCCTGAGGTAATGGGGACCTCCCACGAGCTGGGTGGACCCACCCTCGGATGTATGTGACTGCTCTTTCACCAAGCACTCCCTCCCCTTGGTTTCCCAAAGCCAATTCTGAAACTGCCCTTTGCTCTTGCTTCTCCTTTGACAAACCCTTTCACAAGACCTGAGGAGACAAATGCTCTGGCCAGAGGGTCACAGAATTTCAGCACTGGGAGGAAACTCAGGTTGTTTAATCTCCCTCTTTCCTTTACAAAATAGATCCAGGACACAGAGCTGGTCTGCGGCAGGCCAGTGTGGGAGCCTAGGACCTCTGACCAACGCTCTCCCTTATATCCGGCCGCTAGGCCTCCTGCCTCCCTCCCCAGAAAGGAGAGCAACACCAAACACCACGTCCTCCCCAAGCCCAGACAAGGGCGGGACTCAGGAGAGCTCCCCTGCCCGGAGCCCCTCCTCTGCTCCAGAGTAAGGAGCCCACAGATTTCCTGAGTCCTCGCATCAAACACCCCAGGTAGATTCTAGGCTAACCCTTCTTTTACAGATGAGGAAACAGGCTCAGAGAGGTGAGGTGACACGCCTAAGGTCACAGAGTGAGTTTAAGTGGAAGAGCCAGGGCGTGACTCTTACAATTGCTTCCCTGTGCCATCTGTGACTACTACGGTGCGCACCGACTGACATGTCATCCTGCTCCCTGGCTGCCAGGCAGAGCCTCCGAGCCTGCAGGGCCTGCTGGGAGGATCCCCGCCTCTCTGGCACAGGCAAAAATGCTGATGAATAGCAACTGGGAGTGGGGGTGGGAGGCTGGGGGAGAAGAATCAACAGCACACAGGACTAGAGACATCTCAAGCTGGAGGGAAAAATAAATTGTTGAAAGTCAGCTAAAGTCACCTTGGTAACTGCTACAACACACTCACCCTGAACGAGGACATCAAACCCAACTGCAAATAGCTTTAAAGAAATGGAAAAGAACTTAATCATCTGAAGAATTAATGTGACAAGTGCCCACATTTACACCTCCCACCAACCTTCAATCATCTGAAATCGTACTTTAATCTTTTAAGAGAAAAAAAAATTGCAGAATGCTGGATGTGCAGTCCTGGAGCTCGGGTATTTCCGGCATGCTGCTTCAATGGAAATGCGGCTGCTCCACACACACGCAGGAGCCCAGCTTTTTGCTGATTTGTTTTTTCTGGACATCGATTCAGAAGCATGAATTATTTGTGTGGGCTGGGTGAGGTATTAAATCTGCAGCCGACACAGGTTTGCAATGTTTTGCATGGTTGTCAGCTTAATCTTAGTCATAAAAAAATAAGTAGTGTGCTCGCCAGCATGGCCTAATTTTTCAGCTGGGCTGTTTTCTCCCTGAGCTCCCAGTGGAGGGGAAGGCATAGGTTGGGGGCTGGAAGGGAGAAGGGGTCTGAGGGAGGCATGGTCCACACCCACTGGGACTGCTAGGGATATGGAGCCAGGGGTGAAGGATGACCTACTGCCCCAGGCGGCAGACTGGCTAAAAGCATTGGTTCAGGCAAATGACTTAAACCTCTCCCTAAGCTTCCGTATCCTCTTGATGGAAATAAATAACAATATTCCTTCTTTATAGGATTAAATGAGATGACCCAAGCTAAGCACCTAACAGTGTCTGGGATGTATTAGGTGCTCGAAATATATCTGGAATGCATTACCAGGATGTTAGCGGCTGCCTGTGGAAGTCTATCTGCTCCTCCTGCAAGAAGCTGACAGCTTAATACAGACTTGTTTGCCTTTTCCCTGGGCCCATATTCCATCTGCTTCTGGCCAAGTCAGCCCCCCTTTCTGAGCAAAGGCCTTGCCCTGAGCTTGAGAGAGGGGGCTTCTGAGATGGGGCTTGAAAGGGGTCCTGGCTCCCTGAGCAGACACTGCGGGCCCTGGGAAGGCCCAACTATAGGCCAATCTAAACCCTGGAGGCCTCTCTCCTGCTGAGGGAGGCACTGGCAAGGCCATCTTCCTTCTACAGAGCACAATTGGTCTTCCTGTAGTTCTCACCCACTCATCGTCAAGATGCCCAGGAAGTTTAATCCACCCTCACGACAGCCTTTCAAATCCCTAAAGCCGCTCTCACTGCCCATCAACAGTTTCTCTTTTCCAGAATTTGTGGCCCCAGCTTCCAATTATATTTTAAAGACAAGGTTCTGGTCTCTTCTGTCCATCCACATCACCCTCCTATGAATTCACTCTAGCTCGTAAAGCCAGAGCGTCGTGTCCGGAAGTGAAGGGTTGTGTGTGGAAATAAATATATGATGTGGCCTAACCAGTGCAGATCACAGAGGGACTAGGAGCTTTCTTGTGCAGGATATTTTATTTCTATTAAAACTGTCATCAGATTGTCTATTCCTTGTAACCCTATCGCACTGCCAACTCAGACTGCACCCCCCTGTGCTGCACGGAGGCTTTCTCCCCCGGGCCGCACTGAGACCTCTTCGCCTCCATCTTGTAGGTCCTGTGGAGTTTTTGGAGCTAAGAGCAGAACTCCGCACTATCTGGCTAGTGTTTTAGGCAGCTCGGATATTCCTGAGAGCTGACTCTGGCATTCATCATATCAGCTTTCCCTTCTGACTTCACATCACTGACAAAGCTGATAAACTGCCATCCGTGTTCTCATCCCAGGCTTTGACTAACAGTGAACAGGACAGGGCCAGGCAAACAGACTGACAGACTGACATCAGTACTCTTGGGTATGCTCACTCAACCAACTAGAAACCAACCCAACCATCCCATCACCAAGCCCCTCCCCCTCCTGGATGCTCTGTGGACATTCCTCTGTCTTGCCAACAATGATATCAGAGGACATTCTCAAAATGTCTTCCTAAACCCCACCTATAAAAGCTCTACAATACTTCCTTTGTCTACCAGGTAGAAATAAGTAACTTATTTCTAAAAAGGCAGTGAGGGTGGCCTGGCAGGCCTGACCGTTCATGAGCCCATGCTGACTCTCAGGGCTTTTCCCTTACGGAGTGTTCACAGCCTACTTGCTGAATAATCTAGTCCAGGATTTTCCCCGAGAGTTGACACCAAGCTCACTTGTCGAGAGAGTCAAGATACTTTTTACTTTCAGTCTGCCAACACCTCTCTCCCATTCCCTCCAAGATTTCTGACCTCAGCTCCTGAATCTCATCTGCCAATTTGCCTGGGATTCTGGGGCACAATACATGTGGACCAGGAGACCTGAAATCATGGCTTCCGCCCTCCTATGCCTGTGTGATCACCTTCCTGATCTGACAACCATTCTTTGTGAGATGGAAGCATAATAGAACTCGAGTAAATTTTGCTTCTTCTCTGCCACTGATGAACTTTACACTGCCCAAAAAGGAGGCCTAGGTTTTCCTTCTTGCTGTTGTTCCAAACAGAAGTACAAAAACTAAAGTCATT